CCCCCCCCCCCCGCCTCGGGAGGGGAGAACCAGCGCTTTTTTGCCCCAAGTGGTACAATCCCACGGTGCTGCCTGTGGCCCTCGCGTCCCTGGGCAGAGCCGTGGTTGGTGACGCCTCGGGACACGTTTCTGCTCTGCTTCCAGACAACCACGACATCATTTCGCTGAAGCTTTACCAGCTGACGGTAGAGCGGACGCCGGAGGAGGAGAAGCGGGACAGAGAGGTGTACCTGCCCGTCGTGGACAACCTGAAGCTGCCGGGAAGTGAGTAAGGACCCGTCAGCCTCGTGCAGGGGAAGGTGGGACCAGCAGGGGTTGGGGGGCACTTGTAGGGTGGTGGAGCTGTGGTACTTGTGGGGCTGAAACCGCGTCAACTCGCCAGCAAACCCGCCAAGCTCCAGCTGGAACTGGGAGGTCCGTGCCCTGTTCCTCCCACCGACAGTTGTGGCAGAACCGGTGTCACAGCCCCTCTCTGGCGCGGGTGTAGTGGGCGGCAGAGCTCGCCCTCGGAGAAGCGCTGCCTTCCTGGAGCACCCCAGTGCTCTGTTTTGGCCGTGCCATGACCGAAATGGGCTGTGCTGGTCCGCCGGCCGCTCCAGGGTGCCATCTCCCCCCCGGAAACGCCCCCGCAGCCGCGTCCACCAGCCCCTCGCGTCCCCTGAAGTCTCACCGCCGTAGCCCCTACGACGAGCTGGGCCTGAAAACTTTGGGAAGCCCAACCCTGGGGTGGTGGGAGCCTGGCAGGGCGTGCGTGGCGGGGACCGGGGTGTCGGTGTGGGGTGGTTCAACCCCTCTTAGTGCAGGCAAATCCCAGCCGGGTTTGGAGGCGCCGGGGTCTCACGGGCTGGTTTTCTTCCTCTTACCGTGCAGTGGAGGCGCCGCTGGAGCCCATGAGCGGCCTGGCGCTCTTCTTAATCGTCTTCTTCTCCCTCGTCGCCATCGTTTTCGCCATCGTCATCGGAGTCATCATCTACAACAAGTGGCAGGAGCAGAGCCGGAAACATTTCTATTGACTTGGGAACCCT